AGCCCTGGCCTTGGTACCCCTGGCCTTGACTCCCTTGGCCTTGGTACCCATGGCCTTGACTCCCTTGGCCTTGGTATCCCGGGCCTTGGCCTCCTTGGCCCTGGTACCCCTGGCCTTGGCCATTCCATTTCCTTCCTCTTCCGCCGCCATTCCTACCTCGACCCCTTCCTCCACCCCTACCTCCGTTGTCTTGATTGCCTTGCCCCTGATTCCCTCCTCCTACAACACTGCCCTGTGAGCTGGGATCAGGTGACGGTGGCGGGGCCACAGGTTGGGCCTGGGCCGCTGAGTAGATGGGTGGCGGCATACTCGTTTGCGGTCCGGCTACTGGCGGCGGACTTCCCCACGGCACAATCGCATTGATCACCGGCCAGGGCCACTGTCCGTAGGAGGGCGCCAAACCTTGCGAGGGGCCCGTACTAAATGATGGAGCCGCCACATTTAAAGGGGCTGCTACCTGGGTCTGAGGTGCCTGCGCTTTTCCTGATCCCTGTCCGCCCTGCGCCAAATTACGCACTTTGCGCTGGACCTTTGTCAGCTGCTGCGGCACCGGCTCTTCCTCTTCCCAGAGCTCCTCCTGAACAGCCTCCTCTATCACTGGCTCCTTTCCTTTTACTTTAACAGCCGTCACCACCCTCCTTTGCACCACCGGCTCTGTCGCATACCCTAACTGTGCCAATACGTCTGTAACAATCCTTGTTACTCCCGGGGTCCCAGAAGCGGTCGCATCTCTTTCCTTTCTCTTTTGTCTTTGCAGGCGTACCTGACGTTGTTCCACCTGGTCCAAACATCCCACTTCCACCCCTCTATCAATGGTGGTCCAGGTGAGCTTAGTGCTACCTCCTCCATGTCTCGTCAACTCGACGGCCTTCGATGCCGTGAGTAGCCCCAAGAAGATGGCGCACTGTGCTTCCTCTGGAATCCCATGGACCTTCCGCGCCCTCTTCGTAAAATCCTCTTTGTTCATCGCTTCAAGGTCCACGGTAGTCAACAATCCGTCTCCCAGGCGGTATTTCCTCTGCATCCCCTCCTTGAATCTCTCCCAGCTACCTTGAGCCGCATCTATGACTTTCTTCACCTCCTGATGGTAGCTGTAGAGGACATACTGAAGGATGCGTTGAAACTTTACAACATCCGACCGCCCGACCAAAGCTTGTTCCACCCGCTCTAGCCATTCTGAAACTCTCTCCCCACAGAAATGGAAAGTATCGACCTTTGGGATGTTGCTCGGGTTCCTTTCATGTCGGTCGATGRCCGCAATGAGGTCATCGAGTGTCAGGCCCTTCTTCGGAACAACTGATGCGCCGCTAGTTTCAGCCATCTTGATAGCCTTTTCTCTTTAAGTTCCCTGGCAAAAAGAAAACAAGCACATCCCYTTATTCAACATTATACTTCGACCGGTCTAATCCATCCATCCTACCTAACCCTTAGTACTTACTTTACCCAATGTTAACACAATCGTCCCTCATACTTCCCCTACTTGGGTAGGTAAATTTCCTCACCTATACTTAATCATTCATTATCTGTCCTTACCTTCTCATCATTCCTCTATGCCTTTTCTCGTTCACTTCTCATACCCGGATGTCGTTCCACCAGGGACAACGGCAGGCAACCGTTATCCCCGGCAACGGCGCCACCTGTCGGGCGCAATCGGTCCGGGACCGCACGGGGGCAGCGCGGGACCCTCCCGGCCGCGTCACGCAGGAGTTGGTTTTT